ATGCAAGCTGAAACCAGCCAAAAATTAGCTATATCATGTTTTTTATCACAGGTGTTGCTGTCAACAGATAGGTGAGCTGATAATGTACAACATATGGGCTACTCTAAGCTAAGTTAAGTTGGTTAAGTGCATGGCAAGTGGCAATAGGAATTGTGCAAGAATCATTAACTCACAACTGCCGCTGTGATACAAACAGGTGAGACAGGATGAGATGAAGTGAGGCCTCTTTACGTTAGGTATATTTAGGCTACTTTCATGGAATAAGCATGGGTATTTTGTAAGAAGCAGCGACAAAATGTTTGTTTTCCCTGACCCCATCTTATTAAAAGCCAGAGGTATGTCTATTGTGCTTGACTTGGTGATGGGCTGATGTGTAGGAGTCCAAGGTTTTTTTGTTTGAGTGTTTTATGCTCGTTGAATTTTCTGTTATTTTGTTATTGAATTCCTTTGCTGTTTTGTGTTAAAGTGCTGTGGAAGGGAAGTGCAAAGTACAGCATCAAATTATTGGTGTTAATAATTGTTTATGCTCATTACACTGTCATGAAATTACTACGCTTTAATGCCTTCTGTTTCACCTTAACGGCTTAAGATGTTAAAAACCAAAAGAGTTGGCAGATTCATGATATTAAGTCCATGCCAACTTGAAAGCACGGTCTTTTTACAATGGAATTTCTCGCTCCCACCCTAGTTCAAAAGCAATTCCAGCTCCCTGTAATGAAGTAGCAAATGGTCTTTGCACACCCCTGCAACATAGGTGCTAGTGTTTTTTTTTCTGTTTACGAGCATCAACACCTTACCCTGTTCAAACATGAACATAAAGCCAGAGGCAGGTGTCGATATATCACATTTGATTGGGAGTCAGTAGACTTAAAGAATACAAACCAACGCTCTCTCTCAGAAGTAAAAACCTCGCACACACACACTCCCCATCATATCAAGATCAATACAAGCCACTGGCACGCACCATCAGCGATCACACCCATTTCAAGTCACTGATCCACACTATTTTGTGAAATAAGTGTAATTCCACACTTGCACAGCTCGCGGGATGGTCAAATTGCGGGTTTTCTCACAATTCCCGTATACGTTTTCGGTCACAACACCACATTTCACAGTGAGCTCCCTCCAAACAGTCCCAACGGGGGTTCATGGTAATGCATAACGAAAGGTTGTGCTTGAAGGACAATGTTTTTGCTCAAGATTTAAATTTGTCGTACAATGTGCGTTAAAGATTTAGCAATATATATATATATATATATATATATATAATTCTTGCAACGTTTCCCCAATTTTATAATGTCTACCTAACCCATAAACCCGTACAGGATTCTTTGCTCCGGTGCACACGGCGCCAACCGAGCTGCCCGTTAGAATACGTGAGTAGAAGAAGAAAAAACGCCAGCAGGAGAAGAGAGACATAGTTACCGTTGCGTCATCTTTACAACAACAAAAAAAACATTCGGCATAGCGCCATTCTTTTTTCGGTGTCGTATTTTTTGCAGACAGTGACATTCTTTTTCATAACTTTGACCCATAGCCTAGATATATGGATAAACGCCCCTTTAACAAGGAGTGCCGCACAACCCGAAAGTACTCACGCTTACGTTCGCGACACGCATTCAGCAGCGAAATCTTTCTAACAGCCAATCACCTTCCGCAGATTGTATCATATGTGTCGCATCATCGCTTTTGTGAACGCATCAGCGGCCATGCTGTTTTTGACCATAAGTAGAAAACAGCCTGTAATATAACGGCGATCGCATGACGTTTCTATGACATCATCATTGCGGAGGGGACTTTCAAATAGTCCCTAAATAAACCTTTTGCCACTTCTGCGGGCGTGTTACTCAGGAACCAGAGGGCTTTGGATCTTAAAAAGCTTGGCTGTGAACTGCATCAAAAGGTCCTCAAGATGGCTGCGTCAGTTCAACATCCCATATAAAGGTGGAATATTATCTTTAAGGTGATGGCTTCGATACTTAAACGAATGACTAGTGTGACTAGTCACCACATTCTTGTTGATTCACAATACGCGTGCCGTCCTCAGCTCTTCATCGAGCATGCAGTCATCGATATAGTAACCCACATAAACAACAACATGGACGCCGATATGGTTACCAGCACCAGCTCAACCGACTTGTCAAAAGCTTTCGATTGTGTAGACGGCCCTGCTCTTTTAGCCAAACTGGAATGCTATGGTATTTCACCACACTGGTTTTCGGATTATTTCACCGACCGCCGACAGACTGTGGAGGGTGGAAACGGGCCGAGACTTGAGGTCGCTTACGGCGTGGTTCAAGGCAGCACCGCAGGACCGCTGATGTTCCTCCTCTTTACCAACGACATCCAGTGTTATGTACCAGCTACGTGTAAACTGGTGTCATATGCAGACGACATGCAGGTCATGCATGAATCACCACTATCTGCTTGTGGTATCGCACAACTGCGTTCGTGTGTTGAGTCCGATTGACTCAGTCTCAGTATGGTTTCATCACAAAGGCATGAAGATCGACCCATCAAAAACTGAATTCATTGTTGCTGGCACGCCCACCAACACCCGCAAAGCCGCCGGGCTAAGCGCGAATTTTAATAACTCCCAGCTGTCTCCTTCAGAGTACATCAAGATACTAGTGGTGCTCATCGATAAAAATCTCAACTGGCAGCATCAAAAGGCCAAAACTATTCAGCGCTGTTTTGGCTCCCTCACAGCTATTAACAAGCTCAGCCATGTGCTTCCCAGCTCCACAATAAAGTACCTAATTGAGTCATTGATCTTCCCTCGCATCAGGCATTGTTTACCTGCATGAAGCCCCGACAACAGCCGTTCGGCGCCCGCGCCTGGACAAGGACATTAACTTCGCGGTCAGAATTGTTGCCGGCAAACGCAGGTCAGATCACATCACGGAATCCCGAACACAGTTGAATTGGCCCAATTTCGACGAGACAGTCACCCCTGCGACTGCAAATGTTTGCATCGCGCCATGTACGTGCCTGATCGGCCACAGGCTATCAGTAATTTGATCAGGCGTCGATCTGAAATCTCTCAGCGGCACAACAGGACCACCGATGACGAAATTGTACGGCAGACGAGAGTTAAAAAACACCCTCGCTTAGGGTGCGTGAAAAGGGCATTTCCCTATCGAGCCGTGGCGGCGTGGAATCGCCTCCCTGCTGTCACGCTCCAATGCAAAAACTCCAATGAGTTCAAGGGCAAAGCGATGTCTTTCATCAGAGAACTTACCTAAATTGACCAGCTGGCCATGGTGTGCAGGTACTGATTGTGTCATAAATCGCTGATGTTTTAGAAAATATCATGTGTATCGCTAGCGCTGCGTCTCATTTGCATGCGTTGCGTGTTCTGTTTTGACCTATGTAGTACGTACTGACACGGAGTTAGAATAACCACTCGCTGGATTTCCCCAAGGTTCGCAACAATAGTCACGAATATTGATCAGACGGGGGATTACCAGAATGAAAGAAATGCATAATGCAGTAGAAAGATGGGTTATAACGACTAGTGAGTCTCTTAACGAATATTAGCTTGGATATTTACCAATGTTGAGAGACATACCCGCACGCAATCCCCGCTTATGAAAGGAGGTTATTTTACGCCATAAACCTAGGAGGGCTGTCCGTTCAGACGCCTCTACAACAGTGGAAACGTTATGCAATGTTACGTGGCGGGCATATAGACTTTTGTGGACGTCAGTTAACGTTCCAACGCCAGTGAACGCCTGGTCCAAATGGGCACTATAATTAGAGATAACTGAAGCGGTTAACTGGATTGCATCGAACAGCTAATTGCAAAAAGATATATCCAGTTTCAGACTTCGAGGTGCTCCGCTTACCCGACATTAACGATGGCGATAAACGCCGCAGTTGTTCGCAACGTACCGAGACTGCTCACAACGTACTGCTCACTTTCTGGCGGTACGCAATGCGATCTTGAGTATGTGGCAGAAATTTGAACTACCGGTAGCTCAGACACCAAACGCTAAAATTTGGAAATGACGGCTAAGAGCTACACTTAGAGCTACCTTGGGAAGAGCCACATCTGGCGAAGTCGATTTGCTTCAGTTGCCATATTCATCTGTGACCTGTTCGCTGCAGCTGAGAAATGCGTGGCAAAATGTAACGGAAAATGAATAGTTTGATAAGAATGGAAAAGCGTAATAAGTGCCCTTGCCTCCTGGTGCTCAGTGCTACCCGCTGCTGAACAGGCATTTCTCGTGCGCGTGCGTTTCAAGTGTGTTTTTGTGTAGCTTGAAAATAAACTAAGCCTAAACAAAAGACTGAAGGTCCGCATGCACTTCAGCTCAGTGTGGATAGTCGACTGCTGACCTCGTGTGACCATCGACACAACTTCATCTGTGGCTTTCCCTTACCAGTATTCTCATCACCAATCATCATCATCACCATCATAACCACACGCCACTGATGCGTTATTCTCTGAAAATGAGGCTTCAACGTTCAACATATAGAATACTCGCATCTATGGCATCCGATGCAGACTTGCATGCTGGCTCTTCACCGTACAAAGCCGCGGGTATACAACAGAAATTGCATTATTTATACGCAGCTGTGACTAAAAACGCTTCGTAAACATTGTGATCAACTTGTTTCTCGTCTTAATTGTATGGTCCTCAAGCCAAACGCCGATCTCGCCGCGTCGTAACCGACAGGACTTCGATCAACGACGCCAACGTGATCGCATCCCCTAACGTGCCGACTGTAATATCGACAGTGGACAAGACGTACCGCAGGGCCCAGTCCATGATCAGTCGCGTTCTCTCTCACGTAGCGGCTAGCAGATGCAACGAGCCTGGTAGAACAGCGCCGGACGCAGTGCTGCGCGGTACGGTTTATCAGGAGATCTCTAGCGCACAAAACATATGACAACCCTTCACGGGCAGCAGAGAAAACAGGGCAATGGTGATCGCAAATCCAGCCAACACCAACACCAGCCCGCACCAGTTCCAGCGCAGCACCAGCGCACTCACCGCCACAGCACAGGCGCCCTGAACACCGTCGGCAGTCGGCACCCCCCGTCAGCACCCTACGTTCACTGGTGGCGCGGTCCGGGCCGGGCTAGGCCGGGCCGGACGGCGCATCAACCCCAGACGGCTCCAATCGCGTCCTATTGACACCGGAGCGCTGAAGGTCGGGAGTGCCCCCCGGCGGCGCCGCCCGTCCGGCCGCCAGAGCGACGCGCGTCGCACCCAAGGCTTCGCTCGGCAACGGGGAAACGGCACGTGTGGTTAGCGCGAGCTCAGAGCGTCGCGACGGGGCATTGGGTGTAAAGGCACGTGGCGACGAAGCGCGGGGAGAGGGCCTTCTTGCAGTAGGAGGCTGGGTTAGAGGCGCGGGAGCCGTGGGGGCGTACCTGAGCCGGCCGCCAATATCATTTGGCCCTAGGGGGCAAGGGCGTCCACTTTATATACGTATGGAGCCCTTGAGCCCCTTCCCCAATGCTGACTTGAGTCCCTTCCCCCACCCCCACCCCCCACCCCACCTCCACCCATTCTGCCCTTAGCTCCATCTATGCATATGAGCGAAGACGGAATACTGGATCAAACAAGTACAGAATAATTGTCTAAACTATTGGTATGGTAGATAGCAAGTACCACATAACATCACTTTTAGTATAATCTTAATTTTGAGCCAATTGGCATCCTGTGGGCGCCAAAAAGTTTTGACGCGCAACGTTCTTGATATGTGCAGCCAGTCTGCAAACGTTTGACACTCTTTTTTTTAAAAAAAGATGACTACTGGAATGAGATGCAAAACGATTGACCTGCAATGTATGGCAGCTTTTAAAAGTTAAGGATGGTTCAGATGAAAGTAAACGCACTTTTTTCTAACAGTGTCAAGTGTATTTGTCGCATAATCGTGACTGGTGGTTATATAACACGGTCAGTAACAGCGATAACCATCAGTGATCTCTTCCTACAATATACTACGATGTTTCTTGTGGCTTACACCACATTCTAAGCTTTTCACAAGCCAGCAGCTCACCTTAACTTAAGATGTGAAGTCATTGCTCCGTAGGAAAGCAATTTTGAAACTATAAAATATCATTTTTTTATATTCAAACTGAGGGAAACAATTAGGATGGCCCAAATCCCGGGAAAAATCAGTTTTTTTTGGACAACTTGGGTCCACCTTTTCGGCTAATTCTCCCCATCTAACCGATTTTAGAGGGTGACACCCTTGCTGGGAGGTCTCGTTGCGCGTGTCGGAGTACCTTTACGTTTGACGCTTCTGCACAAGAACGTCGTCAACGTTGAAATGTTTAAATAGTTTGTCACACCCTGTGAAATTTTGATACAAGCTGTAGAAAACGATGAATAAAAGGATTTGCGACGACGTAATCTTGTTCCCTGCCCTTGATCTTCATTCGACAAACCTTATCGCAGTTTTTAGTTCCTGTGACAGAGCACAAATATGAAGCAAATGTAGGTGGCTGCCTTATAGCATGCGCTTGCTGGCCTCTTTGATTTTGATTTATCAAGGGGTGTCAAGCTGCTGCTCAGATGTTTTAACGCTCGCTCGGGTGGCCGGTTGCGTGCCGCGCACTCAGATGGGAGTCAATTTGACTCCTTGGGATCGGTGGTACGTGAGGTGGTATGTTGCAAAAAACAAAAGTCTGATCGACGTCATTTTGGGTTCGTGACGTCATCTGACCTGGAGGAAGTTCACATGAGATTCTTTTGGCGTCCCTTCGGTCAATAAATTCGAAATGAGCGCCAAAAACTGTCGCTCAAAGTCAGCCCTCCAGTAAAAAGGCAGTTGGTTTTTATCTCGGTCTGGCCGTCATACCGGATCCAAGGTCAATGAAATAAGTCGTAATCCTAAAGTCAATCGTCTGTCTCAGAAATCGTCTCAAAGATTCGTGGTTTCTTCTAACACTCCGTTCTCGCATCAGAGTGAACGGTCCGCTCGGAACAGCCGTCGCTGACAGACATGACCTTATAGATGCGACAGGCATGGCCTTTGACCTGTCATAGGCTAGAGACCATACCAGATTCATTTGATTCGTATAACAAAAGATCGCATTACAATTGCCTACAGCTAAGTTTAGTGTGGCTATGCCGGGTCTTTCGGACGTTATTTGGGAAAACCTTCGTGGGTGGAAATAACTGCATCCGGACAGCTGTCCATATGGCAATAATGATGCATGCCAGGTCATCGCATGTCAGCCAGACATCTGCTGGTTGCTTATCAGGGAGTTCGCGCACGCCACCTGAGGTCCGTTTACTGATGGCAGAGGCCACAACACGCGTCACGTGCCTCCGGATCGCTCGTGTGAACCGATGGGGGACCCGGCCTCCGGCTGCTGACTGTCACGCCGCAGACATTGAGCGAGCAGAACGTGGCGCCCGCCGGCTGCGTCACGCCATGCCTGCCGCGGCTCCGACCGCCGGGTAGGACTCGGACCTACGGAGCTCGCTCGTCGAGGGAGTGCGCGTGCCGCGCGTGGCTTCCGTGCGCGTGTAGTCCGATCGTGGTTAGGAGAGAGCTTCTCCTGCCCCTGTAGCGATTCCATGAAATTCCATGCGAGTCGCATTGCTGGCTTTTCTTCTCGCTTTTTTGCGGTTCCGGGACCGAGGCAAGCGCGTGTGCCGCCCACGGCCTGATGATGCGCCGTTGCCTCTCTCCGTCGTGTCAGCGATGCGCATTTCATTGGAGGCGTGCAAACGCTGAATGTACCACAAAACCGAGACATGGATCCCTTTTGCATAATCGCCTAGCTCGGTGGCACCTGGCACGCGGAGGTGGAAACAGCCTCATTGGGCAAAATGAATGAGTTGAAGTGGCGTATTGTAAAAGCCTGTGTGACGCAACGAGGCCGTGATTACGCGGCGTTAACGTTTAAACGTTCAAAGTTCAAACCATGCCTTGGTCGTGAAGTGCCCGTCTTCCTCGGTCTGTACTTTAAGACCATTTTTATTAACAAAAATGCTTATTGTTAAAGCTCACGCGGTGGCCAAGCATGGACTGGCCTAATATTGTAGCGTGAATCCATACAGCGCCACTGCTGCGGATGCCCCACATAATCACCCTCTTATCTACCTCCACTAATCCCCGTGAGTTTATTCAGCCGAGCCTTATGCTGATCCCAAAACGGATTCAATCGAGGGCATGACCAAACTTCAAGGCTTCCGCACGGCACACCTTAGGGATGGGAACTGGGTCCCCATCGGGGTTGAAACTCCATGCCCTGCTCCCTTCCAATAACGCGGCTCTGTTACAGTGTCCGACATGGGCCACTTAACCTTCAGAAATCTGGAACACATGGATCGGCCAGTCCGCAACAGGCCTGTGGTGATGTAAAATAGGGCCTCTGTTTAAAAGACGATGGGGTAAATTAGAGAAAAGGCAATGCGAATTTAGAGATCTAAGCGGAACCATGGGACCTATTGTAACCCCCCTCTGCGAAGTCCTAGTCAGGAGCCTGCTTCAGTCAAGGTGAGCGATCGATTATCTTTGATCGCCTTAAAGCCCCTAGAGCCGCGGTAGATCAAGCGCGCGTTACTGGCAGCCATGGCGTGTTCAGGACGCTGGGCCACTATCATTGACGTTATGTCGCAGTGATCGAGTGATGAAAGGATGGGGCGTGGTCGAGGTGACAGGGGGCAGGGCATGGATGGGCATGGCCGGGGTGACAGGAGGTGGCGCATGGATGGGCATGGCCGGGGTGCCAGGAGGCAGAGCATGGATGGGCATGGTCGGGGTGGCAGGAGGCAGCGCACGGATGGGCGCGGTCGGGGTGGCAGGAGGCAGGGCATGGATGGGCGTGGTCGGGGTGACAGGTGGTAAATGAGGCCCCGTTCATGATCGGGGGAGGTCTCAGTGAGGAAATGTTAATTGGTTGACACCAGGGCACACCAGGAGGCTGTCCAGTACGGCGTCGGGAGCGGCCAGCGCCTCCCCGAACCCGCGCGTGGACGCCGCGCGGACGGCCACCAGCGCCGGAAACGGCTCGACTCCCCGGCGGGGCGGACGCGTTGGTCCGGGGTAAGGGGGCGCGCGGCTCGCGGCGCAGCCTCAGCGCAGGCCGATCGGGTGCCCTCCCCCGGCTCCCCAACCCCGCGCCGTCTGAGTGACACCGCGATGAATGCCGCCTGATTGGCCTTAACAGGACAGACAGGGTGTGAGGCCCTCCGCCCATCAGCGAGAAGAGGGCAGTAGCCTGTGTCTGGACGATGGCAGCACATGTGCTGCGCAGACCCCTGTTGTTGGGGGGGGGGGGGGGCGGGTGTGACGCGAAATGTGATGCAGTTTGCCTTTGCGGTGAGGTTATATCGCCATCAAATTATTCATTATGAGAGCTTCTTCATGGAATTGAGTACACCCCGATGCCCCGGAACCTAATGGAAGGAAAAGAAGCCGAGCGGGCCAGGCGCCAATCTGGAGCTCGGGTTCCCAAGTTTTTTTGGCAAAGATTCATTTTGATCACCTGAGGTTTAAACCAAGCGACAGATACACCGCGTGCAGCGGCAGATTGACACAGAGATACGGATACATTCGTGTGCATAGGTGAAATAATTGTGCCACATGCTCGCTGGGGCGCGTTCTGCACCACTGGGCTTGCCACCACGGTTGAGTTCTCGACCGGGGGCCGCCCTGCATTGGTAACCGCACGACGCAGCGTAGACCCGCTAATGAAACCTGAGGTAGCTGGCCCCGAGTGGCAGCCCGGAGGCCCACAGCAGCCGCCGCTCACCGCCGCCGGTCGACGCCCGCTCGGCACAGGAGCGCGTGACAGCCGGGGCAGATGTGGGCTTCACTTCTCCCAGTCCAGCTGGCCACGCTGCCTGTGGACGGATGCCTTTCACACGGCCCCGGGAACAGCCAACCTCAGTGCGCGGGATGGTGGGGCGGTCTGGGCAGAACGAGCCGCCGACATGTGAGGGTACGGACTCCGGTCATAGAGAGCGTTAGGAGGCATGCACAGGATAAAGTATTGTGGCTTAAACCCGGTACCCAGCTCGCAATAATCTCATTATTCGCCTTTGCATGGAGAGATTGCAGTGCAGTAAATACAGTTCTAAAAACCGCTTGCTTTGTTTCCATTAAGTGGCCTTCAAATGGCTCAG